AAAACATACACACACACACACACACACACACACACACAATGAGCAAAAAGTATGCTTCAGTCTGCACTCAGAGTTCATCAGTTCTCTCTCTGGAAGTAGATAACATTTTTTTTTATCATGGGTCTTGCAGAAATGTCTTGGACCATTGATCAGAGTAGCTAAGTCTTTCACAGTTAATAATCATACAGTACTGCTCTTGGATCATCCATCTGTTGTTTTTCCAGAGATGGATAGCATTTTTCATTGTAAGGTCTCCAGAATGGTCTTAGATCATTGCATTTTTGAGAATTCACAGCTGATCATCATATAGTATTGCTGTTACTTTGTACCCTATTCTCCTGATTCTGCTAACTTCTCATTGCATCAGTTCATATAAGTCTTCCAATGTTTTTCTAAAACCATCCTCATCATTTCTTAAAGCATAGTAGTATTCTATAACAATCACATCTCACAAGTCCTTTAGCTATTCCCCATTTGATGGGAATCCCCTTAATTTCTAATTCTTTGCTACCATAAAAGGAGCTGCTATAAATATTTTTGTGCATATAAGTCCCTTTCTTTTTTCTTTCATCCGTTTGGCATACAGATCTAGTAGTGGTATTTCTGGGTCAAAGGGTGCGCAGTTTTATGGGCATAGCTGTAAATTGTTCTCTAGAATGGCTGGACCAGTTCACAACTCCAACAAGAGTGCGTATTCCCCCCACATCTCCTCCAGTATTTATAATTTTCCTTTTCTGTTGTGTTAGCTAATCTGATAAGTGAGAGGTGGTACCTCAGATTTGTTTTAATTTATATTTCTCTAATTGATAGGGCATCATTTCAGATTGCCTGTAGCCTTCTTATGCTCATCTTAACACACTCTCCTTTGCCCTCTGGCTCATCCAAAACTTTTTTTCTTCAGATATTATCCTATTCAAAATTCTCAACCCTAGGGAAATTATATGTGTAAGTAAGGGCAATTTTATATGGCTGTAAGTAATGGGATGCTACTCTCCAAAGAGCTAAAACTGTGGATCACTCAAAGAGGAGTCATGTGGTAGGATGTGATAGTCATTATCAAGGTACAAGACATAACAAATAGGTATAACCAGGGTACGATACTTTATGAATATGTAGGGAATTACACAAGAAAAACAGTAAAGATTACCTTTAAAGCAATGGAAGTATCTCCCCCACAAAAGGATGATCTAGTCGTATAGAATAGGCAAAGAAGAACCAATGGAGAGCCTATGTGCTCATTAATATCTTCATGCTGTCAGGAGAAAGTGACAAGACCTTCAATTCACCATAATGAATAAAAATCCAATGGCAAATTTAGGGGAGGACGTGTATGGGAGGATATGGGTGCATTGCAATTTATATAGTTGCAGCAAATATTCACATTAATGAGGATATATAATCTAATGCCTTAGAATATTTGTGTTTGCAGTGTTTTATGCATATGCAGCTGTGTGAGCACATTGCCTCCTAGGTGTGTGTGTGGGGAAGTTTGGGGGTGTGTGTGTGTGTATGTGTGTATGTATGTATGTATGTATGTGTGTGTATATATGTATGTATGTTTGTCAGGAAGAAATTTTGGAGCCAGAATTGAAAGAAAAAAATGTACTTACACTAAGAAGTCCTATTGAAGCTAGCAGAATACATATTAACTCTTAGACCCTTAATAAATATATGCTGAGTAAATTATACTAAACTTAGAGGTTGAGGATAGGAAAAACAGATGGAAAAGTAAGCAATAAGATGTTTATTTATGGAGGTGAATGATAAGGGCAGATACATTATGCATCAGAGGAAGTGAGGATGAAAGTGCAAATTAGGAAAGACCCTAAAGTGAAAATGATAGTCTTAATATATATATAATGTTAAAAAAAAAAAGACTAGGTTGGGACACTAATGCATTGTTAGTGGAGTTGTAACCTGATCCAACTGTTCTGGAGAGCAATTTGGAACTATGCCCAAAAGAGCTATAAAACTGAGCTTACCCTTTGACAAAGTAATACCACTACAAAGTTTGTGTACCAAAGAGATTAAAAAAGGAGAGCGGGGAGAAGAACCTATATGAACAAAAACATTTATAGTAGCTTTTTGTGTAGTGCCAAAGAATTGGAAATTGAGGGAATGCCCATCAGTCAGGGAATGGCTGAACAAGTTGTGGCATAGGATTATGATGGAATACTATTATATTATAAGGAATGACGAGCGGGATTATTTTTGAAAAACACGAGAAGACCTTTATGATCTGATGCAAAGTGAAGTAAGCAGAACCAGGAAAAATTTCACACAGTAAAAGTAGTATCATACAATGTGGTATAATTGTATAATCATACAATGATCAACTGTGAATAACTTAGTAATAAATTGTATTAGCAATATAATGATACAAGACAATTCCAAAGAACTTATGATGAAAAATGCTATCCATCTCCAGACATAGAACTGATGGATGCAATCTAAGCATACTTTGAAAAAAAACTTTATTTTTCTTCCAATTTTTTTAATATATATTTTCTTTCCCAACATGATTAATAGGGAGGTATGTTTGACATGATTGTACATACATAATTTATATCAGATTCTTGCCTTCTCAAGAAGGGTAGAAGGGAGAAAGGGAAAAAAAGAATTTAGAGCTCAAAATTTTTTAAAAAATAAGTGTTAACATTTTTGATTGTAATTAAAATATAGAAATTTTTACTTAAAGAAAGACTAGGGACTGTAGTTATGAGACAATCATGGAGAATTGAAACAGAAGAACAGAGTGAGGGAAGGAGAGAAGAGACGGAAGTCAAAAGAAATCAAAAAAGAATAAAGTGAAAATAAGGAGGAAAACCATAGTATCTAAATAATAACAGGATAATTAAGATAATATCACAACATTAACTTCCTTTACCATTTGCGGTGTGTATTAGCTTAAAGACAGGTTGTGCTCAAAATTACCCTTAAACATTTTTGTATCTTTTCAAATCTTTTTTTATGTGAACATATCTACTCAATTTTAGCTTATTATCATTCAACCATAGTAGAGCAGGCTAATAATATCATTGGGTTATTGCAGCTCTATCTGGTTTGCTGTGTAACCAGTTGGTTTGGTCTCTGAGATCAATACCAATCACCGTTGGCTCCTTTGGCTACTGTCACACCCGGGAGCCAGTGACTCGAGATATCGAGCTGTGCTTGACAGGCGGTGGGGTGTCAGTACTGATTGTAGCAGATTGGTTGAGTGTTGAACCCTCAGAAATCAAAAGTTCAAGTGCTACTCAGTAGAACATAAAAAGGATCATCCATGCCCTTGAGATGAGGATTCAAGTCAAAATGCATGATACTGCCTTCTAATCTCATGCTCAGTTATTTTTTGCATTCAATTGATTTGAGTACAGGAAATGTTTTATCTTTAGAGGATGTTTTATCTTTAGAGCATCATCTTTCTTTTCAGTCCCCAAAGTTGACAGCTGTAAGAAAATTGTTTTGGATTATGCCTTTGTTTTAGTGGGAACAATGTGTTACAGGGGACTCGGGTTCTACTCCCATTTCTGCCATTAATTAGCAAACTGACCCCTCAGAAGTCATTTAACTCCTCTGGATTTGGGTTTCTTTAGCTATGCAGTCAGATTGAACATTTATTAGCACCTTCTAGGTGTGAGATACTGTGTTAAATATTCAGGATATGAAGATAAATAAAACCAAAAGAAAAAAAAAAAGGAGTCCCTGCCTTCAAAGACCTAACAATGGAATGATGTTGGGTCGTGAGGACAGGATTCCACAAGTAAACAGATGGGGGGGGGGATTGGACTATGTTATTATGAAGCTCCCCTCAGTTCCTAGAACTCTATGATTCTATGATCGGTCCTTTTCTTCTTTATCTTGAAATATAAAAATCTCTGAACCTTTGAATTGAGCAAACTTTTCTAGAGAGGCGTCTTCTATAAATGCATGATGGACAGACTGGTATTACTACACTTCTTGGAATTTTGTTATCTGAGTTACCAAAACCTATTCGCACAAAGTCATTTCTTGTTGGGAAAGTTTTCAGATGCCTCAGCATCGTAGAGCTAGGCAGATATTCCGATATACGCCTGAGACTGATGAAATGATTTCTATTTTCTCAGCGAATGAGATCTGAAAGCATGATCTATGTATCAACATTAGAATCTGTTGATAATGGATCTGCCCTGAAATCAAGCTCCTCAAGTGGCTTGTTTATTTACAGCGGGCCGTTTGTGCCGTCTCCTTCCTTCAGGGGCTATTTTTTTTATCAGAATGAAAAATAGATGACAGATTTGGGAGCCATAGACTAAATGTATGTAAAAATGAATCACTTTCTAGATCAGGGGATTGAATGTCAATGTGAATGTATTGAGTATTGATGGTTCCCTCTCCCCCACCCCATTTCCTATTGATAAAGCAATGACTCTTATTGGGAAATGATCCAGAACCATTTGGGATTCATTCTTTAAGTTAGATAAGGAAATGTTGAAAAGACATTGAGATGTTCTAAATAATATAGGAATTTCAGGATATAGAGCCATACAACTACTATATAGAAGGAGTGATAACACTCTTCTGTGTGGGCCCAGATGCATTAATTTTCAGCACTTTTTTCTTAAAACTTTTTTTTGAAAGATGGTTCATTGTTGTTGAATTTCAATGTGATTGCAAATTAGACAACATAAGACTCAATAAAAGGAAATACACAAAAGACCAATTTAAGTGGCGTCTCAGTGAGAAGGTAGAGGTAAAGGGGAGCATATTGTTCTGCACAGCAGCATGTAATTAAGATGCAGCTATAAATCAGGGAAATATTATAAGTTGTTTAGGTGGACAGGTGGCTGTATGGGAAGATTGATTAGCTCCTTTTGTCCCCTTGAGAGAGAGGTTCATAGTCATTCCTAGTAAATTAAACAGTTTAATTTCTCAGGCTTCCTATGGTGTGGTTGTCACTATGCAGGCAACATGCCCTGATGTACATAAAAGCCAATTCCAACTCTTGACCGTTTCTATTTCAGATGCATTATACGATGTCATCACAGTAGGTGCTCCAGCCGCACACTTTCAGGGATTTAAGAATGGTGGTCTTCGGAAGTTACTCAGTCGATTTGAAATGGAAAGGAGAAAGTAAGTAAAACTTGGGGGAGAAATTTCCTTAGATTATCTTCTAATTGGTGAATGGCTTATGTATTTGTGGTTCGAATAAAAAGTTTCAGCCCCAGAGTGACTCTATCATATAATACTCCTTGATACTCTCTCTCCATTTGGTGGTTTAGATTTGCTATCTTGCTTTGGCCAATTTTAGTCAAGATTAAGAAAGAATCAATGGAATTCTGAAATGTGTTAGTGATGTGGTAATATTGGATTGTCAGAAACAGCACGCCTAGGATTCATGTCATGATGAAAGAAGTAATGTGATGCTGAATGAGTATTAATCATTATTGTGTAATGAGAGGGTGTCCAGGTGAAATTAAGTTGATAGTATATTGTAATTTGTCCAAGGAGTCAATGTAGCTTTAGGGGAAGGAAATGGGACTAGACATCAGAAACCCTGAGTAACACCCAGGGATGTCACCAGTGACTTCTAATGTGACCCAAACAAGTCAAGACACTTAATGGATCCAATACTTAGTTTCCCTCTTACTGTACGAAGAATGATCCAAGTCATTAATGGTTCACAGGAATGTGGTGAGATTAAGTGAAGCAACTTTTAATTCCTTAAGAGAAAGACTTTGTACATGTCTTGTCAATACAAATTATAAATTTGTAGGAAGGAAAAAAAAAAGACAAGAGACTTTTAACTTCTTATAAACCTTCCTCAGGAAGCTTTTACTCTGCCAGGTCCATGACTCTACCCCCTACTATCTAAAAGCTACCTCCCTCTCCAGAATATTGATTAACTCTTCTCTTTAGTGCTCCTCTCCAACAGCAGGACGCCTGGTCATGGCATGATTGATATACTTACTGACCTTTCCAAATTCTCTCCCATTGATATAATGTGTATATAGGATAAACCTTAAATATCTATGTGTTGGCTAATATTATTAACTAAAAACAGTGAAGGTTTTAGAAACAGGGTTACTGCTTCACAGAGAGTCTAGCTGTAATACTAGAAAGCCCAATGGAGAATTATAATTCTCTCAGAACTTTGTATGGTCAAGATGTTCAGGTCACTTGAGATTAAATTACCTGGTCTTCCAAGTCTAGATATTGAAGAAGAGTGGGTTTCTAATAGATGAGAGGGCAGTGATTGAGCTACATGGGAAAAAAAAAAAAGAAAACCGTTTGGCCACCCATTTAGATGCTTACATTTGAGATGCCAAACAAGCAAATGTTTTCAGTCTGAGTAGATATGTATGACTTCAGGCAACATGGTTTGTTAGCATGGAGTATGGGTGACCCAGGTTCAAATCCTGCCTCAGATATGATGTGACTAATTAAGTCACTTAAACTCTCTATGTTTCATTTTCCTGACCCAAAAAATGCACTTGATGGTTCTTAAGGTGCCTTCTAGATCTAAATCTATGATCCCATGTCAGGAAAGGTATAAAAAAAGCAAATGTAGACATGTTCATCAAATTCTAGAATAGTTGGACTAGGGGACAACCCTTAAAATTTGTAAGTGGTAGAACAAATGAAAGAAATACTGATCTAAAGAATGAGGAGTAAAACTATCAGAACTCATTGCTTCCAAGATGTAGAGCAGAGTGAAAAGTCAGTAGGTAAAGAAAACTTTGATAAAACTTCTTAGAAGGCATGACCATGATCTACTACTATAAGAAACTATAGGTGTTTAAGTGCAATCTTATCATGAGTTTGACTTCCTTCCTTCATTGGATATTAATTACTAAATGATTATTTACATTCCACTAGGGTAGGATACAAGAGGATAGGAAAGCTATATGATGATATTAAGAATGGTAAGAATCATAGCTAGTATTTATGTAACATTGTAAAGTGTTTTCTTTACATTTCTTGCCCCACGGGATCTTATTTGCTAGAAGACATGGCCTCTGTGCTCAAGGAAATATAAAAGCCTTTTGGGGAAGACTAGACATACACATATACGACATGGAAAGTAGCCTTGATCTGCTCTGTGAAATGAGGCAGTTGAATTCTGTTACCTCTAAAAAAACTTTGATTTCTAAAATTCTGAGATTATAAGAGAAGCAGTGACGATATAAACATACGAATATGTTTGAAAAATTTCAAAGGTTTTAAAAACCTCCTTATTTTTCCGTCCATCCACTCATTCATATATTGGTTTGCTTATTTTTGATGCAGGCAGGTGCTTTGAAAACACTTGATATCATTGTCAGAATGGATGAGATAAATTGTTGACTTGATCCACTTAACACCGTTTCTAATGTTCCTGTGAATCTAATGGACTGAATTCTTCATCTTTAACCTTGACAGTTTGGCTCTAATCAAGTTCATTGTATAGAAAGGAAGTGAATAAGGAATTTAGGTGATAATTTATAGGGTGCTTCTAAAAAATGTGTCTGGGTTTTTTTTTTCCCGTGTGTGTGTGTGTATTTGGAAATGGCTTCTGGAATGGAAATGGAAAGATTTCTGGCTTTAGAATCAGAAGAATTAGATTCAAATCCTACCTGACCCACTTTACTACCTGTATTAAAGTACTACACTTTAATCATGTGACTTCTCTGGGAGAAGATGACTATTAAGAGCCCTTCAAGCCCTTAATCTGCGATACCTGGATAGATCTAAATCTTCACATCTAAATAATGATGATTTCAGTGCTTTTTAGCTCCTACATGTCTCATAAGACCTCTTTAGATGGACACCAGGGAAGTGCAGGAGGTGAGAAGCTGCAGGTATAATCCTAGTAGGAATGGGATTTACTGTACTGTAAATACTGAACAAAGATAAACATTCACTCTGAATCTAGTGTATGGATCTAGCGAAAGGGATCCCACACTCTGGGAACGGTAGGGGCCCTTCTTTTCATAGTATATTGGCTTATAAGGAGAAAAGTCAGTAAATCCTTACCCCTGCTTCTTTGGAAATACTTACTTGCACTTGTAAATAACAATATTATTTCCATGGTGCTTTTTTGCAAAGTACTTTACAAACATTATCTCATTTTATCCTCACAAAACCCTGGGAAGTAGGTGCTATTACTGACCCTATTTTACAAATGAGGAAGATGAGATTTACTGAAGGTCACACAGCTAGTGTCCAGGTCCAGATTTGAACTCAGATGTTTGCAAGTCCAGGTCTGGCTCTCCATCCACTGTGCCACCTGTACCATTTTTTTTGTACCAACTTTGCACCAAAGTTCATACCAAACTTTCTTTTCGTAAGATGGAAGGACTGGTTATCTGATGATTTCTGACTGAGGCAGTGTAAAATAGTAGAGATCTATCCTCTGAATCCAGAAAATCTAGGTTCAAGTCAAGCCTCTGACATACTGGCTCTGTGAGCCTAGGCAAATAAGAACCTCTCAGTGCACTAGACAACTTTTTAGACACTTAGTTGTAGGTAGACAGAGTTTCCTCATCATTTCCTTATAAGTTCCTCATACAAGTTAAATCAGAGTCCTATCTTTCTGATCACCAAGATGACCATGTTCAGAAATGTATTCTTTAAAATTGAAGTGGATCTGTGAACCTTCCAACCATGCAGATCTTTCATCCTGTGAAATTCTTGGACCTGCCCTCCCAACATAGTAAGCTAATAATGAAAGTACTATTATTCCCATTTCACAGATAAAGGAACAGAGGCACACAGATCATAAAGTTAGTTAATGACTGAAACAGAATTTGTGACCATGTCTCCTGACTCCATTTACAGATCCCTAGCCATTATTACCTGCTATTATCATCTCAAAGTCAGTGGAAAGAAAGACACTTGGTATGTGTGTAGGCTAGAATGGGTAAGAAAGCTGCAGCCTATTACCAACAATGACTTGTATAAAATACTATAAGAGATAATCTAGGTATATTGGGGGTACTCCAGCAGCAGAAGAAAGTACAACCTGACATCTTTGTGTGAGGTTATTTATAGACTATTTCTACATTGCCACTAAAGTGTCTACAAAATGTTCTGAATAACTATGAAGGAAAAAAAGAAAATAGCATGGCATAAACCCTCTGGAAAAATGTATCTTTTGGTATGAGTACAGTTAGAAGGGATTTTAGGGATCATATAGTTCAACCCATAGAGATGAGGCAAAAAGAATATCAGAGAAGTTCAGTGAACTGCTCAAGGCCTTATAGGGAGGATTTAAACCCAGGTCATCCAAATCCAAATCCTGCTTCTCTCTGTAGGAGGAATCATATTAAAGCTCAGAGAACTTAGATTGGCACTATTCGTAGGCCCAGGTACAATGTCAAATAAGATACTAAAATAAAACACCTCAGCAAGTTTAATTTTACAATCCTAACACTTCTCTGAGATAATTAGCAGACTAATTAAAACACAGTTGACCTCAAATAGTTATGGTCTTAAAGCACATATTCTCAGGCAGCACCAGGGATCTGTTTTGTCAGATCCTTAGAGATGTCATCAAAGATATTTGATAGCATACAAATTTCTCCCTCAAGATATAAGCCATGTCACTATGTGCAGAAATTTAGATGAAGATAATCGTAACTCTGAGACCTCTAGTTGCTGGCTGTGTCTGTTTTATATTTAGCCAGGCACCACAAATTCAATTTTAGTAGAACCTGTACCTGACTAGGATCATGGCCTGAATGAATAACCCATTCATTAAAATAAAAAGTACAACATGAAAACTGGGTGCCCTTAGGCAAGGAGATGGGAGCAAATACAGGGTTTTTTCAACACCTCACTTTTCAGCATATTAACTTATGCCCTTTGCAGTCAGCTGGAACAACTCTGAACTCCCACTAAATATTCCTAATATAAAATACCTGCTCGGTGTAATGGACTCACTTAGACAAATATCTAGACACATTGCTACTGGAGCCTTATGATCATTATCTCCTGAAAAGTGAATTAAATCTGGGGGGAAAAAAAGGAAAAAAAAAAAAAACCTGATTCATTGGAAACAGCATTGTAGCATAATGAAGGACAGTTTGACTTTGGACAGCCATGATGTGGGTTCTAATACCATAAGCTGTTATTAGGAAGTTTCTGGGAAA